GGGAGAAGGGTGCAACAATGAATGAATGGAATCCCAAAATCTCTGTAAATGTTCATTGAAATGAAAAATAAACAACCTAAATTAAAAAGAAATAATAATAAGCTGCACAGAGCAGGTATTCAAACAAACTCAAGAAACCCAAACCCATTGCTGTCAAGTTGGAATGACTCATCGCTGACCTCCAAGGGGGTTTTCAAGGCTGTAAATCGCACATAGGAGGTGCTCATCTTTCCACCACTGTGCAGCTGGCAGATTCCAACTATTAGCCTCTGGGTGGACCAAACAGCTGCCTGTCAACTAGGCTAGCAGAGCTCCCTAGGGCAGATACCAACTACGTCTGTAAATGTCATGATGCAGGAAAAAAGTAAGATAGGAATTGGAGAGGTAGGAAGGAAGTGGTTTTTTAAAAGGATGACCAAGGAAGGCTTCATTGATGAGATGACTCAGAATCTATTTTATTAAAATATTTATATAACCAAGGCTTTTATCCTCAATGCCATTTTAGTACTTGGAGAAAACAGCGTGCAGACAGTGGTTAAGAATGTGCACATCGAACTAAGCTCACTGGCTTGTAAAATAGGGCTGCTGCTTCCTTCTGTGTGACACTGGGCCAGATACAATGTCTTTTTTTAATTTTTCTTTTAAATTGGTTTGCTAACAAAGTTCACATGCATTGTGTTTCACACTAACCATTCAAATAGTGTTTCATACAGCCATTCCCATTCGTTGTTTTTTAAAATGAATCATCATTGACCTATGCCCACCATTACCCTATCTTTCTAGAACCCCACTGGATCTTTCTCATTTCCTTTACCCCCTCCTCCCTCCACCCATCAAAATGTGTGACCCTGTGATTCCCCCCTACCCATCCTCAAACCTCTGCTCCCACCCTCCCCGCCTTGGATTCCCCTAGATGTTTTACCAGTTATCGTCCTATTTCTACAGTAATAGTCTTATGCAATATCTGCCCTTATGTGACTGAGTTCGTTCACTCAGCATAATGCTTTCCAATCTCTCAAGTTATGTCGTAATTTTCGAAATTGTTGTTCCTCCTTGCTGTGTAGTATTTCATCGTTTGAATGCACCACAATTTCTCAATCCATTTGAATGTGGTTGGACATTTGGGCTGTTTCCACATAACGCTGCTATGAGCATTAATGTACAAATTTCTGTTTGTGTCTCAGCTCTAATTTTCTTGGGATATATTCCAAGCAGTGGAATAGCTTGGTCCCATGGAATTTCTATATTCAGCTTTCTGAGGAAATGCCAGACCACCTTCCAGAGTGGTTGTACCATTCTACAATCTCACCAAAAGTATGTGAGAATTACTAGCTCTCCACATCCTCTCCAACACTTATTGCTTGCTGTCCTGTTAAACTTTGCCACTGCTTCTGGGTTGAGATGCTGACTCATTGTGGTTTTGATTAGCATCTCTCTTATTAATATGAAATCTTTTTAAACCTCAGCCTTCTCTCTGTAAATCAAGGAAAAATAGTACATCCCTCAGTAATTTGTTATCAGTATAAAATTAGGTGATACATGTCTGATTTAGAATAAACTAGTAAAAATGACTTAGCAGTAAGTAGTTGTGTTGTTAACCAAAAGACACACAGTTTGACTCTACCAGCTGCTCCACAGGAGGAAGGTGGGTAACCTTCTGCTGGGAGATCAATTGCCTATGAAAATCTGGTGGAGGGTCAGCTATGAGAATGTTCTGACTCAAAGGTACATAACAAAAATAACGTAACCAAAATAACAGTATTAAGTTATTCTAAATTATCATAGTAAGACAGTGGTAAGATTAATAATCATAAATTCTATTTTTTAGTAGGAACATGGTATCTTCATAATTTAATGATGGGTTTTATGAATACCTTTAATGAAAGGTTGAATGTTCCATTTTATACAGAGGTACCTTGGAAGAAAGGCTTGGCAATCCATAGCAGAAAAATCAGCAGTGAAAATCTGTTGAAACTCTTGTCTGGGGAGCCCTGTTCTCCATGGGCACCCTGGGCATTGCCAGGAGACAGCACCTCCTGCACTGCAACTGTTTGGGTTTTGGCTGCTATACATGCACTACTCGCCTTGAGGACTGGTTCTGAGTTAGTTCAACAGCCATTACTGACCTGTCTCTCTCCAGCCACACTTGGCCTGTTTCTCCCTATAATCCTATAATCTCCCTAGAATACTAAACCTCATCAATTCCAAAATGTAATTCTTTTCATATTTCACATTTCTGATATCACTATCATCTCTCATCTCACTGTTGGTGGCATCTTGTAATTGTCATTGTTGTGTGCTGATAATGGATTCCTTCTCAGAGTGACCACATTGTTACCAGCTAATCCACAGAAGAAAAGATGGGCAGTCTTCTGCTATTAAGGTGTACCATCTCTGAAACCCAAAGGAGGGATGCTAAGGGTCAAAACTGACTCAAGGGCTGTAGATTTGGTTTCAAGTGGACTGTGTGGACCATAACAAACTGTGGCTGACTCTGAGAATAATGGGAATCCCAGAACACTTGATCGTTCTAATATGAAACCTATACTTGGACCAGGAGGCAGTCAGAACAGAGCCAGGGAACACTGCATGGTTCAAAATTGGGAAGGGCGTACGCCAGGGATGCATCCTATCTCCATACCTTTTCAACCTGTATGCAGAACAGATTATCCAGG